AAGCTCCGAGATTAATTAGTCGCACTTTAGATATGTGCATACATCCATTTATTTATTACAAACTGTTCAAACATGAATGTTCAATTGATTAGACAAATCATTAGAAATGTTTCCATTTAAAATTATTTAAAAATTTGATGTGTTATATGAAAGTGTGAACCGTGACGTTAATGACTATATAAGTAACTTTGCCTGCAATTTTTTTTCAAAACATTTTATTCTGGATTGCTACTTTACCAGCTCCATTGCCGTTCATAGCGAGTCGTTCTTTTGCAAAACGATGATCTAAAACGACAATTAAACAGCGCCAAATGCTGTTATGACCGCTGGTTGATACATTTTTTTTATCAGCATCACCTGGAATAATAATGAATAAGAGAGTCTACAAACTACAAATAATTAGAATAAAGATTTGTTAATAAATTTAAAAGAAACATACAAACTCTGCCCGTTTTTGAGGTAGCCGCAACAGATCACCTTCAAACTAACGCAATTCACCTTCACTTTTTAACGGAAGCTCGGGCATATCATTATCGCTATTTTCGGTTGATTTAGATTGTGTATAGAGCTTTCATTTTCGACTTCAACAGTTAAAGCCTCTCTCTTAATCTAGCGCTTATCCTGTGCTCCACCTCTAAAAAAATCAGTATAACAATCATTAAAATAAATTTTAATATATTAAATTTTTATAAAATGGTTTCTTCATACTAATTGCATATAACAATATTAGCTTGGTTGTCTCTTCTAACTTTGTTTCATCTGCTGAAATGAAATTCAGCATCATTTCATAGAACCTCTTGCAATTTCTAGTGCTTCAGTTTGACGGGCAGCGAGTTAGTTGGCAGGAGCGAGGACATAGTCCTGTGCGACGTTGACGGCATCGAATGGTGTGATGCGTAGAAACTGTTGTCATTATAGACAAAGGATGACGACAATCCACTGGACGGCAATCGCATACACAATCGCAATCCCAAGTGTCCAACGTTTCCGGTTAAATCCCTTCAACCTCAGCATTGCCGTCCAGTGGATTGTCGGCATCCTTTGTCTAATCAATTGAACATTCATGTTTGAACAGTTTGTAATAGATAAATGGATGTATGCACATATCTAAAGTGCGACTAATTAATCTCGGAGCTTCTTTATTTTCCTTGCAAAAAATAACTGTTAGTTTGGGTTACGAGGTACAGTAATATTTAGTTTTTGTTATAAACATCAATATAAATGACAACTCGAAATAATAGTTGATTTTTTTATTGTTTGCGAAAAATCGGCTCAAAATAGGTGGCTTCAAAATTGATTATTCGTTCCCCGTTACCCAGAGCCTTAATATTTTATTCTCTTCTGATGTACTCAAAATAAAATTCGTTGTTATAATATATTTTATAGTTTCTTGAGCATCATAAACTAATTTAAATTCTCATTTTTCAGCGGCGGTTCAACGGAAGCACAGATATCCTTTAACAAAAGCTGTTGAGAGTGGTAGGAAGTGGAAAAGTGGCTGCGGAAAATATATTCAAGACGGAAAACGATGACTTGAAAGGATAAGAGGTTCGGCAGCTATCCTACCTGTTGTCGGTAACAACGACAATTCACGCGTAGCCGACCCGTGAATCATTTCAAAATGTAATTCAAAATGTAATGTAAATTTTTATTAAAATGTAATATATAAATTATGGTAATTTAAAATATAATAAAATATCGAAAATTACAACTGTTTATTATTTATTAAAAACTTTCCAATTACTCTACAAGTACGAGGTCTGTCAGGAAAATATCGGGCCTACCTTTATATTTTTGTGCTAGCGTTATTCTTTATCATCTGGTGGATGGCATCATTCAAAGTAATCCCCACTTGATTGAATAACATGGTTCCATCGATGTTTCCACTTTTCAAAACAGTCCTGGAACTCACTTTTAGAGATAGCCTTAAGTACACTCGTCGCATTGTTTTCAACCGTTGTTTTGTCATCAAATCGGTGTCCTTTGAGTGGTTTTTTTAGTTTTGGAAACAGCCAAAAGTCACAAGGGACTATGTCGGGACTGTGTGGAGGTTGTCGAAGCAATGCGATATTGTGTTTGCTCAAAAACTGCTGCACAAGATTGGATGAGTGCGCTGGCGCATTATCGTGATGGAGAAGCCAGTCACCACTTTCCCAAAAGTGCGGCCGTTTTCTTCTTACTGCATCACGCAAACGTTTCAAAATTTGAATGTAGTATTCTTTATTGACTGTCTGACTTGTTGGTGCATATTCGTGATGTGCAACACCTTCATAATCAAAAAAAACAATCAACATTGACTTAACATTGCACCGACTTTGACGTGTTTTTTTGGTCTTGGCGATTCAGAATGCTTCCACTGTGAAGATTGTTATTTTGTTTCGGGATCATAACCATAAACCCATGACTCATCACCTGTAATAACTTTTCTAAGCACATTATCATCATTATTGACCATTTCCAGATTGTCCAGAGCGATTTCTAAGCGAATGTTCTTCTGCTCTGCTGTGAGCAATTTTGGGATGAATTTCGCACACTCGCGTTTCATTCCTAAATTTTCGGTTAAAATATCTGAAATGATAATTTTTTGGTATTCCAAGATCTTCTTTTAGTTCTCGTAGAGTCATACGACGATCTTGTTCGATTGCAAGTCGCACCCGCTCAATATTATCTGCGGTTTTTGTCGTCGAAGGTCGACCGGAACGAGAATAACTATCGACTGAAGTGCGACCATCCTTGAACCGTTTATACCACTCTTTTATTCGTGTTTTGCTCATACACTCGCTTCCGAAGGCCTTTTGCATCATTTCAATAGTTTCCGAACTCATTTTTCCGAGTTGAAAGCAAAATTTGATGCAAATTCGTTGATCTTGTTTTTCAGTCATTTTTGACAATATCAAAATCCGACGAACGCGAAAAAGGCACTGTAAACAAAGACACGCTGCGCATGAACTATACGTCCGGCAGGTGTCAGTAAGTAACCAATAGATTCGTGAGGCTTTACTGTTGACGTTTCTGTACGGTAGAGGTCGCTCGAACACTATGGCGCGAAGATATAAACGTAGGCCCGATACTTTCCGGACAGACCTCGTATACATATTTCATTATTATTTCATTTAAATTTCGTTTCCGTCGTCGGAAAATCTTGGCAATAGGTTAGAGCCGTGTAAAATATCGGGACAAATTTCCTTTCTCTTAATTAATTTTATATAACTACCAGCTCAATGAACGTTGCTCGACACATATCCTTTGTTAAAACTGTTCCATTTATTTAAAAACTATTACATTTTTATTTTTTTAATGTTTTGTTCCCCTTTAACCTTTAAAATTTATAAAGATAATACATTGAATGGGTTGAATCGTACTTTATTTTTTATAGCTTTTTTGATTCGAGTCGTATAGATTTTAAATGTTCAAACAGAATACAATTCTGGGGAGTGTACGATACGTAAAGAATTACGTAATAATTTACGTGTCTTCTTACATAATTTCTTACGTAATAAGATTAGTTGAAATTATTAGAAGTTTGTGTATCACAGTATCGGGTATTGCATTTCATTAAATTCTTAAAGTACTTTTCATAAAACTCTTATAACGTGTATCTTATCAGATTTATGTTTTAGTTTGAATTCTTAATATTTTTGATATCTTAAATAGTAATGAATTGAATAATAAATAAAAATAAAAAGTTAAAAGACAAATAACAACGTTTGAAGCAGAAGTGGTATTCATCCTAACAGTTGTTAATAGCAAAGCATACTGGTCCAGAAACCCTTAGTCAATACAGATTTTTTCTTTTTTTTATTCTTTTAATACTTACATTGTATATTCTCGATTATTTAATAGTTATTTATTGTGATAGAATATAGCAAACGGTTATTTTATCAATAAATATATTTTGGTGTTTTCTAAGTCACATTATTATGTTTGAAAATGCTATTTGAAAAGATTTCAATTTATAACGTGAAATGACGTTACTGAAAATCGTCTTTTTTTCAATGGGGTAAATTCTTCTCTATCATTCATCAAACTATAAGTTGTCCGCTTTTAGTTTTTGTCTACTTTAATTTATAAATATTTGAGATTTATTATGTTTTTAGGCTTTTCTTCCATTACAGTCAAAGAATTATTTTACTGTTGTTTTCTTCTACATTATTATATTTCATCAAATAAGTCAAATTTATTAATTAAGCATTTATTTTGCCTATATGAACACATAGAATATAATTTACAGTTCTCGTTTTGTTAAGAATATAAAATATTGATTAAAGTTCAAATTAGAAAAAAAATAATTACAAACGAGGTATATTGTATTAGCATGCAAACATGTTTATGTTAGCTATTTTAAGTATATGAATGCAGCCTATTTGCGCCTTTCGAGACAATCAATTTTTTCAATTTTGCCTTTTTGCCTGATAGCTTTTACTATACCACGATACTGTATGATGCAAGTATAGGATATCGAAAGATATAAAATCTGTTCTATGAGTTGGATTTGTACAAATATTTATGTATTGAATCCACTACATAAAAACCTGGAACTATTTCTTCAGTATGTAGTAGGAGCATCGAAACCGTTTAATTTTAAGACAATTAATTCAGTTAACTTTAATTCAGTTTACTTTTAAGTTTAAGTTTAATTTTAATATTAAGACATATCATTCGTATCTTAGTAAATAATATGTTATTTGTTCAATAATTTGACTTTGTACAAAAAGTGTTAGTTTCAGTTCGCTTAGTAGACTGATTTCTGTACAGAAACTGCCACACATTCAACTTGATATTAAATAATCTATACGAAGCGAATTCAGCATAAATTGTTTATGACAAACCAACTTCGTACAATTTTAAATTTAGAATTTATCATATAATAAGCTATTTGATAAATCATTGAAATATCTCAGGTAAGTCATATACATTAAATCATGTGATTTATTTTATAACAATTTATCTTATAACATATAAATATATCTTTATTTTTCCACGAAAATTTATCTGATACATTTCTAAATACGCTAGTTCCAGTCAAGTTATATGATATTTTAGGTAAATTATCACATAACCATTTGGTTAATAGACTTATGTAATAGATTATGAAAATTGTCGAGTGAAAATTTGATGATCATTATGAAAAACACCAATCCAAGTACAATTTAAGTTCTATTAAATGTTAAACATATTAACAAGAAAGAAAGAGAGAGAAGGACAAAGAGAGAGAAGATGGAAAGGGAGAGTGATTTGATATCTTGTTACACGATGCTTTCTTTGTCGCATTGAATGTCATAAGTAGAGATAACGGCATGCCTAAGGGAGGCATCGCCAGATTTAAGGCCGTTGACACTGAAGAAGTTTGCCAACCAATTGCGTAAAGATGGTTTACTTGAGATTTTTTTGGTGACGTGAGTTCGCAGAGGTATGTAGTCGTATGCATCCGCATGTTCACCTGGTAAAAGGACTTGGTCTAAAGATCGCCAGCGTTTCACAACCATTGAAGAACTCTCTCCAGAACGCTCAACGGTTGATGAAGACGGATCAAGACCATCACCGAGAAGCAAAGGCATATCGGGTGATTCTGAAGTATCGCCACAATTCTTCTCGTGATGGAAAGCCAGTTGCCGCATTGGACCTACCAGAAATATATTGCCATTTGAGAAGTTATTGTTGAACGGTTTTTCATAAAGTTGGAGATTCGTTTTAGATCCTCGTTGAACAGTACATTTATTGCAATTTTCTAGTGAGCGGAAACTCGTTTTTTTTGGCAATACCTTCCAGCCAAGCAATAGTTGAGGTGGATCGAGTTTGCATGAAGTCGCTATTACTGGAAACGGATCTAAGGACCTTGATTCTCGTATTGTTAGTGCATTACATCGAGAATCTAAATACTTCTGATGCTGCTGCGGTGGATTGTCATTCGATTTGGACGTTGAGGTGGCTATGGTTGATAAAATTTTTGTATTTTTTAGTTTAGCCACACTTGATTGATTTATTGACACTCCATTTTCTGACAACATTAGTGATCTGAAACGCGTTAAAATTTTTATGTTTAACTTTTTTCTTTTTGACATTTTATGTTACTTACCTGTTAAAGTTGCACCGAAAGAGATCATCGAGAGCAAGTTTAATATTAGCTGCTCGACTTTCGGCTTCCTCACGAACCATAATCATGTTATCAAGTGTTGTCTTAGAGGAGTTTTCAGTGAGGTAGAGTGGTGAACGTTCAAATTTTCGAGATATCAGCGAAGGGCGAGTTTGCAGAGGACTATTATTAAAGTTGCTAAGTTGCGCAACTGAATCAACCATATCTGATAGCATACTTCTAGGTACGGTCGACTGCCGGCGACTCCCGGCAGCCAGACCGGCAAGTAGAGATGGCTGTCGAGAATCTGTATTGAGCTTGGGACTACGCCGAGGTCGACAAAACAGAGGCGGTAAATCTGTTATATCCACCTGGAAAATAAAATTTAATAAAAATTATCATTTCTAAAACTATTTATTGTCACAATCGATCACTCAATAATACAATGCAAAAGTGAACAAAATACATTTTTATGAAAAAGTTATCAAGTAATTATTTTTTAGAAAATCTTTTTTTAAAGTACATTTTTTCAATTATTAATATAACTATTCAAATGATACAATCAGAAATATAAAAAAGTTTTAGAACTATCTAAATTATATGAGCAATATTGAATAAATATTTATTGTAAGCAACGAGTCACTTTTATTTTTTTAATTTTAACTCATTTAATAATTTGTTGAAAAAGATACCTATACACTAATAAATATGCAGAATGATTGAGTAAGATATACAAACATCAAACGCAGGAGATGTTCCGCTCTTGTTTGAGCAGTAGTTGTAATTTTACGACACAGGTAGTAAAACAATCATTCCAGAATTTCACTATGGTTCATTCAATTAAGCTAAGTTATAAACCGTATATTTATAATTTTAAAGAATAACTATAATTAAATTAACATATGAAATTGTCTATTTAAAAATAGTCTTTACATTCTCAAAATTCTTAAATGGACATTCCATGGAGAAATCTAAAGAAATAATAGTCCGCATTATTATAATTTTAGGTTTTTATGACGAACACTTTTTCATTTACATATTATCTAAAGAAGCCCTTAGAATGTAGCTGAAAAAAACTACGTACTCTTTCTAGTAGATGATACCAAATATTCGGACGAAATTTTTTAATCGAACTTTTTTGCATATGTCGACCACAAAACTATCAAAGTATTCATATATATTAGCGATATTATCAATATGTTCTTTAGATATATTTTTGCGAAATAATCTATTTTTTTGACAAAAATGAATTAAAAGAATAAAACTGAACCATTAGATAAAGAGATGATTTCTTCACAAAATCGTCTATTTGCTTACGCTTAAACATACCGATACACCATTATTTCATGTAGATAAACATTTTATTCTGATATAGAACTATCTTTAATGAACGGTTGTATTACTATACACATTACGATACTGTAACAGTATTATTAGTACTCTGTGTAGATCGGTTGAAAACTTGTTCTGTTATTAGTATATAAATTTCAATTTATTAGATTCAAAATGTATCTATATTGTCAATATCAAATTTTATTTCTATTAATTTGAAAGCACGACTAATCTTACTTGATATTATAACGAGTGAGATAGCTAACCTGTTATGTTTCTCTCTCTCCCTCTCTTTTATTTAATAATTATTATTATCAATTTATTACTAAATCTGTAATTATTATTCTGTATTATCCTATCTCGTATATTTGTGTTCCAACACAAGCTCATAAAAAAGAAGAGAGGTACGCGTACGCAGCGTAGTGCTTAATGTGTAAGAGCGATATATGTGTGTGTGTATGTGTGTTTGTATATTATATATATAGAGAGAGACAGGCAGACAGACAGACGTACTTGCGTCGCGTGTGAGTTAATGCTCGACTGATTGACAGACCGCGAAACCGGTAATGGGGCTTGGGTGTCCGTAAGGGAACGTGCTTGACGAAGTAGCTACAGCTAAGGAGAGGATCTTGTCGACGCAAGTTGGTGTCATCAACTTTTCCTTGGTTCGTCGTCTACAATACTCAATTGTGGTATGTCAAAATGTGGTAACATGATATCTTACTAATAGACAGCGTTAAAGATAAAATGCCGAATTTGCCTTTGTGAGAATTGTTGTTCGCGCGTTTACGTCAAAGCGTATGCTAAAGAACTGAAGTAACTAACTTTGTTTAATTTGCGGCTACGAGCGAGGAAGTATGACTTGTAAGTATTAGTTCGATAAAAATTACTGTTTTAAAAGAGCAGTTTGTGTGAAATGTGTAAAATATCACGTAATTGCGAGAAGAAAAAATAAAAGAAGCAACGTATACAAACTGTAAAGAAATTCGCACAGCAAGCTATAAAAAAAGTCTATTGTCAAAACAGCTGCAACAAAAAATTTTTCCGAGATTAAAAGAAATGACATTAAACTAAAACAAATCAAAGATTCAACCTAATTTAACTAAAAATGCAAACAGAGACAGACCAAACGCTACATACGCCCAAGTAGCAACAAATCAAAACAAACAAAATGTGACAGAAGAATCAAAACAAACAAATGATCAAACGGAGTCAATTGAACATAAAGAAGAGCATACAAATAAATTAGACAATATGATGGAGCAATTAATGAATAAGATGGACACCATGCTAAATTTATTAACAATTGTAATAAATAAAATGGCGCAATAAACTCATTAAAAATTGCTATCTGGAATACAAATGGACTCATGCAGAGACATCGGAAATTAAGAGCATTCTTATTACTTGAAAATATTGACATTATACTAATATCAAAAACTTATTTTACAAGTAAGAATCATCTAAATATACCAAACTATACCATACATAAAACAAATCACCCGCTCAACAGACCACACGGAGGTACGGTGATTATAATTAAAATCAAAATCAATCATTACATTCACTCACTAGAGAAATTTACGTACAAGGAACTAGTGTAATCATATACGATAACAATGATCCAATAACATTATTAGCTGTTTATTGTCCCCTAAACAAAACAATAACAAAAGAAAATTGGACTGACTTCCTCAAAACACTAGGAAATCACTTTACAGTAGGAGATTATAATTCGAAACATCCATGATGGGGCAAAATCGTCAACTCCATTTTATAAAGGCAAGGTACTTTATAAAACTCTTTGGAAAATCAACTATATAACAATATAACTGGTAAAGCGACTTCCTGGCCAACAGACTTCTCAACAAGTTACCTGATTTGATTGACATTGTAATAATAAAAGTAATAAACAAAAACATACTCGAAGCATCTTCATACTTACAGTTTACATCAGATCATTTCTCGATATTAGTCACTTTTGACTCAAAAGTACACAAAACTGTAAACAACTGCGCAATAACCGACTGAAAAAGTTTTCATAGAGGAACGTATTAGATGTAATGTACCTCTTAAATCAGCTATTAATATTGAAACCTATATTCAGTCATTCAATTCACTCCTGACTGAAGCCATTGACCAATGCTGTACTACTATAATGAAAAGAAAATCACAACAAATCATTTCCACTACAATAGCACAAAAAACTAAAGAAAAGAGACTACTTACAAAAAGGTATCAGATTATTAGATCGAGCAAAGATCGAGCTAGAAGAAGCTCAGTGCACTTAGTCCAACCGAAACAATAGATTACTGATTGTGGAAAGCGACCAAAGGGCTAAACAGACCAACTTCATTCGTATCACCTATTCGAAAAAACTGTGGAACATGGGCCAAATCAGACGAGGAAAAAACAGCAACTTTCGCAAATCATCTAAGTGAAGTATTCAAACCTCGTCAAAGGATAATCTCTGAACAAAAAGAAGAAACCTTACTGAAGAATCCCAATATTCAGGACAGCACTCTAATTAAATCAGTTAAAATAAAGGAAATATTTAAAATAATTAATCATATAAATTATAAAAAAGCCCAAGTCATGATAATATTACAAGAAAAATGATTAAAAAGCTTCCCACAAAAGCAATTCGATACATAACAATAATATTTAATGCATGCTACTGTCTTTACTATTTATCTTCGCAATGGAAAGTAGCAGAGATTATGTTAATACCTAGAATCGGTAAAGAAATGGAACTTGTGACTTCATACAGATCGATCAGTTTACTGCTAGTACTTTCAAAAATTTATGAAAAAATTATACAATCTAGAATAAACTTATTTACCATAAATAGAAAACTTATCCTGTTTCAGGTGTCATCACTTTACGATCGAACAAGTAAAAAAAATAATATCTGCAGTGAGGAAGTCCATCGAAAATAAACAACACTGCACATGCATATTTCTTGATGTTACTCAGGTGTTTAACTAAGTCCGGTATAAGGGGCTTCTACGCAAGCTGAAGGAATCTTTTTCTGAACACTACAGCGATCTGTTACAATCATACCTGCAAGAATAAACCTTTCACGTAAGAATCCATAAAAAAGTTTCGAAACACCAAGTAATAAAAGCAGGGGTATCGCAGGGTAGTGTTTTAGGCTCAACACTATACCTGTTATATACATCGGACCTACCAGAGTCTCCAAATATTTTGACAGAAATATACGCAGACGATACAGCAAAATTAACAACACATCAAAAAGCAACAATATCATCAGAAATACTACAAAATTACTTAAATAACTATCTTCAAAATTGGCTAAACTTATGGAGAATATCGTAATAGTAAACGAGAGTGAATCAATGCACACCACATTTACTTATCGTTAAGATACTTGTCCATTTATTAAACTGAACGACAAATACATTCTGCAAAAAGACCATGTAAAATAGTTGGAAATAGAGTGATCGATTTCAATTACTGCATTTACCGTTCCACACATGGGATTATTTGAGTTTATTAGGATGTCTTATGGATTTGCAGGTGGACCTGCGATGTTCTAGTGACTCACAGACAAGGTGATTACTCCGAAGATGGAGCGCTATGCGTTTGTATACTTAGACGATTTGATTAAAGCGATCGAAGCGTTTGCAGACCACGTTAAATATGATCCTAGGTATAATTAGAGACGCTGATCTGATGATAAATAATAAGATGTCGTGAATATGCATGTGGAAATTTTTGGGCAACTACGCAATAATCTGCGATCCTTTCACTGCGCTTACGCGTAAAGATACGAAGTTTTGACTGGAAAGAGGACAAATGGACAATTTTCGAACGTGTCAAGGCGTTAATTGCAATAGAGCCTATATTAGCTCGGCGAGATTATAGTGTTCCGTTCATCATCGAATGTGATGCTAGTGATATGGGTCTAGAAAGTGTCCTGTTACAGCGTATTGCAGAAGAAGACCGAGTTTTGTGTTTCGCGAGTCGTACTTTAATCGCTTCGGAACTTAAGTTGCCAGTTACCGAACGGGAGTGC